AGGGATAATTACAGTCCTGGCCAGGCTTGGAAAATGCCATTTAGCCACCACCATAACCGAAGCAAGCCCCTCGGCTTGGAGCGGGGTTGGGGCCAGAGCATCCCGTCTGTTATCCCAGATCAGACCCCATCTGGATTCTTCCCCGTTGTTATTTCTCTGGGAAAATAACCTCCTTTGTGGAGGATTTTGCAGGGCGCTGTTGTTCCTGCAGGGCTGCCTAGCACTGCTTGCCCAGAGCAAAACAATTTCTAGTTATTCAGGATTTTACCCTTTCCTAGATTCCCCTGTTTTTCCCTTTAATAGGGGAGGGGGAAAAAAAAAAAAAAAAGCCCAAATGCTTACAGCGTTGTAGGATCAGAGCAAAAGCACCAGTGGTTTGTGAGGGGGTAAAAATCAGAGTGGTGGCAGGATTTTGTAAGGGGCAAAGGAATAACGACACAGTTTGTACATTAAACCTGGGATTTGATAGGAATTGGCTGCAAATGTCCATTTTGATGGGAATTGTCCCCAAATTTCCACTCTGAAGGGTGAAACCCTTTCTCATGCAAGGATTTTGGGTGCTTCCCCACATCGCGGAGGGAGGGCTCGAGCCCCTCCACATCTCACCAAGGCAGGGGGCTGCCGATCAGGATCCGGCCCAGGGGATACTCCTTCCCTCGCACCGTCACCGGTGGGCTGACATCCAGGTTGCCGAAGGAGTCGAGGCTGGAGACGCCTTTCCCGGGAGGCTCACGGGTCACATAGCCAAAATCGGGGCCCTAGGGAAGAGGGGAGCGGTGACAGGGACTCTCCGGGTGGGGGATTTTGGTGGGGAGAAAGGGGGGTTGGCAACGCAACAACGCACCAGGATCTTTTTAAAAGCAAAATCCTTCAAGCCTCTGTTCCTGGGCGAGTCAAAGACAACAGGGAAGGTCTTGTGTGGCGCTTCCACGTAGCCGAACTCCAGTTCGTCCTGTTATGGGAAGAAGAGGAGGTGGAGGAGGAAGAGGAGGCGGAAGAAGGCTCCTGGCAGGGTGATAGACATCTCCACGAGGCGTGTGGTGAGGGTGGAGCAGGAAGTGGGGCAAACCTGGCAAAGCCTGGCTGTTGCCCTTA